AAAAGTTTACATTTTGTAAAGAATGCATTATCAATATACAGACACATCATATGTAGCTTTCAGGCACAGTAAAAGTGGTAGAAATGTTTTTTAAAAGCCCTAAGTTATGCATAAATTTAAATGAGACAAAAGGAGATATTCTAGTCTATCAAGTAAACAGGTTATTGCACCATTTTCCATAAGAGTGAGTCCTTCAAAGGAGAAGACGTTACATGAAAAACTTGCCAAGTTTCAATAACATTAAGGTAAAAACATACACAAATACAAATTTCCTGAATTTTCACTGGATTTTGACACTAATATTTCAAGGTTTATTAGTATTGAAAGCCATGACCTATAGGACTACATTGAAAAGCAAAAGAAGCAAAATCAGAAACCTCTAGGCATATAAACGTTTGAGACTAAATCCAGTTGCCAACAGTTAAGTTAAAATGTTTACAATTTTTAAATGCTTTAAAATATCAAGTTTTAAGATATTTTTAAATACCTTTGCTTGAAACTCTTGTTTTAAGTAAGTGGAAGAATGGAATGGAATGGTTTTATGGATGATTTTGCAGAAGATGAGGATCTTACTTTCTAATGTTCATAGCCTGAAATCCAAGTTATCATGTTTGTATTCCTGAACAACATCTACTAATGGGTTTAAGGGTGGGGAGGAGGGTGGTTGTACCTGGGTGGTGTAAGATTAAAAATAAAGAATTCTTTAAGTGCTCTCTAAAATTGAAACACCGTAAATTAGCCAGAGCTGCTCTAATTATAACACTGCCCTGTCTCATGCATCAGCGTACTGACGAGCTTTAGTTCAAGTTTACAGTGCAGAGGCACTGCATCTAGGAACTCTTCGCCAAAGCACAGCGTGACTTTGCTCTCAGGGAAGCGGCCTTGACTGCTGGAGAACAGCTGCAGCTCTCGGATGAACTGGTTGGTGTCGAAGTTGCCAGTATATACTACAGGTGATGTGCTGTTCATGTCCATGAGCTAAGGCAACAAAAAAAGCATTTCTGGGAGCAATAAACTCCAGCGTGAGAAGCACCAGAGTTTATTGCTTTGCATTAATTGCATGTGTAGATGCGTCCAGTGTGGTTCAGATACAACCTAGGCACTTTCACACACGCTCCAGGGGTGGGGTGGGGGTGCTTTAATAAAGACGGCTCTGAGATCTACTCTAATTATAGCACTGCCCTGTCTCGTGTATCAGTGTATTGACGAGCTCTAGTTCAAGTGCCCTGCTGCCATTTTTAAGCGCAGGGATGCTGATACACAAGACACAGGAGGCTGCTGGAGTGCAGCAATTACCACACTCCAGCAGACTTGATTAATTGCGTATAGGCAACCTTGACTTCTAACTTCTCAAAAATGCTCTGTATACAACACTTCTTCTATAGGCCTCAAGACAGGATCCAGCCTGCAGGTAATACTGTGGGGATGCTGAAGTCCCAGAACTTCAAGATGTGCACATATGTACATAAAAATACATGTGCACACGTTTCTTCCCTTCTCCAACCACAAATGTACAACAGTCTAGCTAAATGGTGGCACAGGTGACATTAAAGATAACCAATTCTAGGACCATCTAAAGACCACCATAAATTTACTATTGCTTGTGCTATGGAAGCTACTGGCCTGAACTAGTGATACTGGTGCTCTCCCCACTGAAGGGACAGATATCTATCCTTTATATTACAATGCTTCTCCTAAACTGCAATGAGTGTTCTAAGAAAAAACATCAGAGAATTACCCAATTTTAGGGGTTTGCTTTTCTTTAAAAAAAAAAAAAAAAAAAAGAACAAAAAACAGATAAACCACTGGGATTTAAAACTTCACTGTGCATGAGTAAGATATGCTTCACAAGCCCATTTAGTAAACAAAAACAAACAAACAAAAAAACCCAAACAAGCAAACAAAAAAAAAAAGTCTCTCTCTTTCTGTCCGTTAACAAGTCAAAGCTATACGGTGCATGAAACCTGATTTCCTTAACGCATGCCTGCCTTCATACACACAGATCAGTACCAGTACAAATAAACAAATACACATGTGAATAAGCAGAATGCCTGTGCAAAGCAGCTAGTATTCACTTCGGATTCGACTGATTTAGGGGACAGTGATTCGATTCAGTGATTCGAATCACTGTCCCAAATCGTTTTGTCTGAATCTCACTCCCTGCACTCAGTGGCTGCTGCCAGGCTGGGGGGGTGATCCCCGCTGCTCCCCACTGCCCTGTGCTATGTTGGGGAGCTTTGCCACGAGCTCCCAGCAGCCCCGACGGCTGCTGCAGCAGCAGCCAGTGAGTGTGGGATTTTTTTTTTTTTAAAGAACCGGCAGCTGGGGCCAGAGGTCAGCCATGGGCAAGGCTGGGAGAGCCGGCAGGGGATGGGGACTCGTAGCAGTGCCCCCCACACAGTGCAGGGCAGTGGGGGGCAGCAGGGATCGCTCCCCCACCTGGCAGGAGCCCCTGAGTGTGGGGCTTTTTTATTTTTTAAAGAGCCAGGAGCTGGGGCTGAACGGGGCAACCATTGATGGGGCTGGGAGAGCAGGCGGGGGTCAGGGGGTGCTCAGGGGGGCTGGCATCAAGCCCCCTTTGCATGGCTTGATACCACACATTTCACATCAACGTGGCAATTCCTTTCTATCCTTCTTCAATGTTTACAACAAATGTGTAACTAGATGTTGTCAAAATATCATGGGTAGGGATCTGTATAATTCAGTTGGAGAATCTCATAAAATTTCACCCTCCTTCCACCACTGCAAACCATGTTCTGGGTTCTAAGCTTTCATATTTTAAAATAATTAATTTTTCACTGATCACTTGTATTTTGCTAGTATCCAGAAGCTTCAGTCAAGATGATATCCCCATTTTCCTGGCACTGCACAACCACATGCTAAGAGACAGAATCTATTCTAAACAGCTTAAAAATTCAATTTAAAACAAGGCTCAATGACTGTAAATAAACAAAAAAAAGACTAAGGTTACAGCAATAAGAACACATGGTGGGAGATGATCTACATGCCAGTATTTTTATTATAAAAATTAAACAATAAATCTAGTAACCCTTTTGTTTAAAAATACCCAACAAAACAAAAACAAAACCTCTTTGGTATGGCAAAGAGTGCAAATCAGTTCAGCACTGTATTCCTGACTCTGAAAGCGCTCAAAATTTATGATGTTAACCTTTCCCACTCATCCCAATAAATGTTGATTTTTAAAACTATTAATTACTTCAGTCTCCCATTTTGGCAGAAATTTCCTGAAAATCCAGTTCCTAAAAGCCTGAACTCCCACCCCATCTCCCCAGCTGCCAACATTACCAGCTTATCTGTAACAATGTCTACAGTGTAGTTGTGCTGGAAATATAAAAATCCGGTAGCACCCTATATTTTAGAGGCACAATACAACAAGTGCTATTTGACAGGAAAAAACAAACAATAGAGAGAGACACTTTACTGCCGGTTTCACTTCATTTCATATTGAAATCAATTTCTGAATTTTAACTGAAACCATTACAGAAGTCATCACTGAAGTGCAAGAACAAGGCAGCCTGGCAGCAGAATTTAGCACCAACATACTGCTGCAGAGTCCACAGTACCTTATGATGGAGTAAGACAGAAAAACAGAAGTCCAAGTATAGAGAGGCTTTAGCCTCATGCTGGATAATGTGATGTCTCCCTCATCCACATGCTCTGCTTAGTGAACAGGGAGAGTCTTCTGGTTAGCAAGGAAGGGGACTACAGGGATCAGTAAATCAACCATGAGTAAGCCTATTCAGCAGGCTTCACCCAAAGAGTTGTGTAGGCTTTTATAACAGTTAATGGAACAAATGAATGAACTAACGTGGCAGCACTAGAAGAGTACCTACGGATCAATACATAAAGCAAGAGATGGGATATTTTATATTTCTCATATTTGTCTGGAATACAATCTTATACTCACACAGGTTTTGCCACTAATTAGCAGGGTTAACTGAATCTCAGAGAGCCAAATTACACTTGCTTCCCCTGGGGTGTGCAGTGCATCTGTATACTTTTTCTAAAGCAGGTTCAGGTTCCACAAATCTAGCAGGTGTATACTTGCATCCCTCTTTACTCTGCTTTAGACATGGAGGATTCCAGATAGAGCCTAAAGAGAGCATACAAGCATGGAAAACCTAGGCTCCAGTTTGGGCATATTCCCTTAATTTTCTAAAACCTTGAGGCTCTCAGTTAACAGCAGCTGCAAGTGTATTTGAAAGCAGGTACTTAAGCCCTTACCCTCTGCATATTAAGAATCTTAGTGAAGGATAATTTGAACCAAATCCTATCATGCATAAAAATAATGAATGAGAAGTTTTCAATTCCCTATGCTTAAATGTTGTACATATGGAAAAGAGAGCTTAAGGACAATCAAATATCAAACCTACAGATTGAATGGAAGGGGAAATACATGAAGCAATAAAGCACTCACAGCACATAGTGCCTTTCATTTAACATCTCAGAGCAGCTTGCAAACATTATGAGATGCTTTGGAAGATTTTCTTCCTCCCCAAAGAACCAATTAAATCACCATACACCCTGTCTTATAAAGTCACCCTGAAGACCAGGAAACAAATGTGGTTAATATGGGTGGCTGGAAGAGTCTAACAAAACTGTACTTTAAAAGTACCCACATGTGATTTCCCAGCAACATCCTAAAAGGCAGGGTCACCTTTGAAGGTCATGATTTAAAGTATAGGTGTTAATGCCCATTGTAAAATTTATATCTTCAAGTTTTAGGTAACTGGAAATGTCTGTCTTTTGTCATCTTTTTCTATGTCCCAGCATAATTCTGGCTTCTTCAAACATCAATACAGAAAACAGAGAAATACATCACTCCATAATGAAAGCTACATCAAGAAATAAGTGATTTGAGGTGAGAGGAGAGAGTCTCTCCCCCCCAGATGGAAATGTGTAATCACAACCCTTCCATTTGTATTTCCCATAATTATTGCTATACTTCCACAGGATCCACCTATCTTAAACAAACCTACCATGTGGTAGCGTTATGTTTGCACCGTCAATGATCGCTTGTGCCAGTTCATGATCATTGCTCTCAAATGCATGAGCAGCAGCCTTGAGGGCATCCCAAATTTCCTTACGACCTTCAAAAGCTGGTGCCGTGTCCCAGAACTCGTCTCTTTTACTGCGCAACTGTCCATCCGTCATTGGGTAATCACTTTTCCATTTTGGTTTCTCCTTTTTCAGGGGCTGATTGCGACCTAAAGCAACTGTGAGGAGAAAAAAAAACAAAACACACACGCACATTAAAGCCAATTTGGTTTTGTTTAGTTCTCAGCAGCTTTAGCCTTCTTTCTGGAGACCCAGCTCTCCAGTCTCCCCTGTGCTCCCTACACTGCTTTAGTCTGTTTTTAAGGATATTTACTTATTCCAAAAGTCTCTGCCCTCAGGCTTTACTCCTTAGCTTTTTCAAGGGTTTCTCTTCCATTATCCAATTATACCTGCCTCTCTGACTCTCTCAGTATTCCCCGGGAGCCCTAAAAGTTCCCTGTAAGCTCCCCTGGTAACTTTGTGCCTTTGCTACTTATACCATCTGCTACGAGCTGCATGACTCATCCCTAAAACAATAGAAATCTTTCAGCATACTACAGCAGCAATATAGTGAGAGAAGCATATTAACTAGAAGCACCCTGCTGTCAGAGGGAATATTGCATCAGGATCTTCCATTTCTGTACAGCGAGCAATGAACACTGTACAACAAATGATGCTTGCTACTAAACACAAGAGTTTCATAAAGCAAAGAATTTTTGCATCACTGTGCATCTCATTTGCCTTTCGCCATATATTGAGCCTTTAAATATTTAAACTCTGAGGCTAGCAACTTAATGGATACACTAAAATCCCTAAAAAAAATCCAGTAACTTGACCAGCTTTCCCATATTGGATACTTCATTTATATGACATATTTGCTTCACTTTAACTAAAAGCTATTTTCATATACAAGTCAGCTAAAAAGGATGACAGAGGCTTTAAGATATGACACTATTAGATCTATTCATTCAAGTTTGGTTTGCGCATTGGGACAAACATTTAACAAACAGGCTATTTCAAATACTGTCCAAGAACACTGTTCAAGGATATTTTGGAGAGCAAGGCTCTCAGGTATTTCAAGGCTTCCTGCTGCCAAGAGCAGAATTATAGAGGCAGAGCAGAGGAAATGCCCAATATGCAAGCATGTGCTGGTGATCAAAGACAAATATCACTTTGGGTTTGCTGGCATGTAGCCCAGCAGTCACTGTTAATGTAAGAACATTGGAGAAACTGGTTTAAAAAGGCCAGGAATTTCCCAAATACACTGGTTCGATCAAGGAGACCAAGCATATGCTTGGGACTCGGAAGGTTTTTTGTCCTGAATGCTATTTCAGAAAATAAAGTTAAAATTTTGGGTTGTCACAAAAGTGCACTGGGATTTTTACAGTGCCCCTAAACTGCATAACGGACCTGGAAAGTATTGCTTTTAATATCACCCGCACTGTAGACAAAAGAGGGCATAGTGGAAAACTTCTTTTCACATAATGAAAAAGAGCCGACTTGCATGTGTAAAAATTCAATTTAAAACATTTCTGGCTGCAGCAACCCCATAAAAATGGGTCATTGTCTTGCAACATGTAGCACTATGTGGAAAACAAGCAGTGAAAAACAATAAAAATAATTCCCTTTCTGGTGCAATACCACAGGACTTTGAATACTGTACAGTGTTTAATGTTTCTGGAGGGAACAAATGCTCTTCGTTCATTAACCCAAATTTAAAGATGTTCTTTGAAGCTGAACAAAATATTTTAGATGTGGGGCATGGATGTATGAGAAAAGCTGATGTCTGTCTCTTATGAGCAGCACTCTACATGTAGTCCCAACCAGTAAATCTACTCCATGTGATTTGGGAAGACTCCCAGTGACATTCTTGGGAGAAAGAGCCCTAACATTTCCAGTACTATGATTGAACCACAAAATTCTCCGTCTGGTTAAGGAAGGCAATAACAGACTTAATTTGTCCTCTCACGTCTGCAATACAGTGGCCAAATTGTCTCTGATCAAAATAAGGCTCTGCAGCTGCTATGCCGTCAAGACCCAGTTAACAGAATTGTTTCTGCTTAACAGAGCTCCTGATTATTAGTCTTCAAAAATCTCAGAGCACTGATGTAAAAAGCAGGAAT